CAACCTGTTTACAACTTGAGTTGTACTGTGTAAATCAAGCACACAACTCACCCACAACAACACAGGTGAGTTGTATGCTTGATTTACACAGTACAGCTCAAGTTGTAAGCAGGTTGCATGCGACAGTTTTAGGCAAAAGTTGTGTAGTGTAAATCGTCCTTAACTTATTTTGATGGATACTCTTGGAATCAACATGTTTCTCCAAATAACACATTTTGTTAACACATCCTATTGCAATCTTTTCTTAGGCTGAAAAACTTGGTTGTGAAGGCAAAGTTGAAGAAGCTCAAGGAGTCATGAAGCTGGTCGATCAGTTGAAAGAAGAACGGGACATGCTCACATCAAAGGTAGACACTGAATATAATTTTTTTAATTTTTTTTTTATTAGTTTTACAATAAGAAATTGAAGGCACAGACAACAGGACTAATAAAGTCCCAAATTAAGTCCTGCCATACATGAAAATACTACGCTATACTATGCTATACTATACTATAAACGGTTATAAAATTAACAAAATACATAGCTAGTTACATATTTACAGTATTACACATAATTACATTCGTACAAAGACTCAGAACATGCACTTCTACGAACAACAAGACATAAAACAAGAACGACATTTAGAGCAAAACGTTTTCCAAGTCCTTGGCCTATTAACATCAAAACATGCATTAACTTTCTGAGTGTAGTGATTAAAAATTATACAGGGCTTTCAAAAAGTTGATAAAGTAGGCGGCTGTGTGGAGCGGTCTAGGGAGTCTTAAAGTCGTCCAAATAAACTAGACTTAAGTGTATAATGATTAGATAACAACAAAACTGAGCTCTGGAACCAAATTATAATGTATCACTACTTTCATTCTTCAACAAGATAACTTTATGATGGCAAATAACTAAATCAGTTTTACGAAATACTATGTCGTTTTCGAAAATAACCAGGCTATAAAGTAGGCCAGATTGAGGACAAAATAACTGAGGGTGGAGAGATAGCTACTGTAGGTTGAGGGAGATAGGTTGAAGGAGATAGGGGAGAGTTGATATTTCAAGTACTGAAGAACGTGACCGACGGTGAAACTCCGGTAGCCTTTTTTGAAAGTCCTGCTTCGTATTTCTGATGGAAAGATTTTAATATGCAGGTTAAAGACCCAACTTTCAATGGTCAAGAAAAGTTGATGGAAGTTTGTGAAGTTTGTGGAGCATTTCTCATCATTGGCGATGCTCAGATCCGTGTTGACGATCATCTTCAAGGCAAACAACATAAAGGATATGCTCAGATTAAAGCTGCCGTTGAAGAAATGAAGGTAAGATGTGTTTTCATAAGACTAAAACTAGTCCACCAGTCGATTGAAAAATTCAAAATTTAAATCTAGAACAAATCGTTCACATATCTTTCCTTATATATACACTGGTCTATACAGTCTGGTCAAGAATTAAAAAAGACATGTTAACACCGCGTGTTATGAATTCTCATCATAATTTGTTTATTTTAAGAACCGTCCATGGCTGAACAGATCCACATCCAAAGATTGCGGTGAAAATGAGAAGAAAGGCTTGGATGACAAGGAGAAAAGTTCAGAAGATAAAGACAAACGTTCAGAAGACAAAGACAAACGTTCAGAAGACAAAGACAAACGTTCAGAAGATAAAGACAAACGTTCAGAAGATAAAGACAGACGTCCAGACAGCGATCGTGATAGACGCCGAGATCGTGACGGTGATCGCCGAGATCGTGACGGTGATCGCCGAGACCGTGACGGCGATCGTCGAGATCGTGACAGTGATCGTCGAGATCGTGACGGCGATCGCCGAAGCCGTGATCGGAGAGACCGTGACCGCGATAGACGCGATCGGGATAGGGACCGTGACCGACATCGGGACAGAGATCGCCGACGAGACCGGAGCCGAAGTCGGGACCGTGATCGGAAACGAAGCAGTCGCGATGGTGAACGAAGTCGTAGCCGAGAGAAAGAAGACAGTCGCGGACGAGATGACGAAAGACGGCGAGAAAAAGACGACAGCCGCCGACGAGATGACGAAGATCGCCGAGAGAGTGGCGAGAAGAAGTCCAAAGATGAGAAGAATGAAGGTATTGAAATAGAGGGACAAGAAGCAAGTTCTTCGAAAGATGAGAAAATGGTGGAGGAAGGAAGTCGTTGGAGAAAAGTGGAAGGCACGGCGACAGAGGAGAAAGAAATCCCGAAAGGTAGTCAAGATGAGACAAGGTAAGTTGTTGTTCCCTTTTCACACTAGGTTGAACAATCTGGTTGGGCTCTTGGCGAATAAATCTCTCGATTATGCAGAAGTTGCAGGTATAACTTTTTGTTATTCAGAAAGGCAATAAGATTGAATTTTTAACGTTTCACAAGAAATTGCGTTTTAAAATATACTCGCATGTTTGACTAAACGTGTATTGAACACGGTACTGCTATAATGGCATGGCAATGTTGTCATGTTCGGATGTAAACAAGAAGATGTGCATTCATCGAGTGGGGGAGAGGTTGGTTTCAAACGGAGAAGTTATGACTCGGCACTTGTTCTGCGAGAGGTACAAATTTTCTAACAGTCATGTAGTGTTCATGTTTTAACCATGGCAATGTAGTACATGTTTACAATAGTTATAGGTGTGTTTCTGCATGTATGAACTTTTATATGTAACGTGTTTAAAGGTTATATACCTGGCTTTGTAGTAATCCTGCAATGTTTAATTTCATATCAAACAGCAATATAAAACCAGGAGTATTTATTCAAGTCAATGGAATACTCAGGTATCATAGTTTATTAATATCATCAGGCACGGTTTAAATCATAATATATTTTGTTCAAGAGTTGCGAAGCTATGGGTTTTCCCCAATAACTATAGCTACTGATTCTAGTGAAACCCCCATTATGGATTTAAATATGCATATATAGTTTATGGACTGTCATTGTTTATGGCGGCACCAAAGAGAAAAGGGTTGGGTAAACAAAATTTTGACTGAGTGAAAGGTTGCGTAAATGAAAAACAAAACAACTCAAGGGTTGGGACCACTTGGGTAATAAAAAATATATTGTCATTTCCAAAGCTTGACTCACTCAAATATTGAAGACTAAAAAGCATTGTCAACAGTCATATATCAATACAATATGTAAATCAATCAATCAGAGTCACTATCATCGCATGGAGAACGATGGGATTTTCAAAAGAATGAAAAGACAATTGAACATTTCCATCAATGGCGATGGCTCATGGGATGTACAACATTCTTTTTAAGCTTGTAAAATTTTTGAACACGGTTGCCCAAATAATAGTATAAACACCTTAGGTATACGGGAAAATAAAGACTTCTTTGTGCCATTAAAAAACGACTCAGCTAACATTAGGTATTGTTTCCTATTTAGTGTGCCCGAAAAAAACGATGAAGAAATGTTGTGATGGATGTAGCGATTCAAGGTTCGACCTGCTGTCACGTTTTGTGGTCCTGCTGTCCTGATTCATTTCTACAAAGTTATAAAGACCTTAGAATGCTCGTAGTTTGTCATAGTAGGTTAGTGGTAGTGTAATTAGCTTCAGTCTAAATTTGGGGAGCGTTGATTAGAATCAAACTATAATTATAGCCATATATATTTAATCAAGTTTTGAAAGTTATTAGTGTATTTAATCATGCATGTTAGCTTTGTCTTGGTATATTGTTTAGTAGTTTTGTGATATCTAATAAAATGTGAATTGTGGTTTACTGGTGTTTGATGTATCATATACAGTGAGGGAGCCTTGGAAAAATATTTTTACAACCTTTTTTGGAAACTAACAATTAGAAAATGCGATCTCATAAGTAGTATGTGCGCTCTCTTGCTGTTCTGGGCCACCATACCCCGATTAATATTCCTGCCTATTCGCAGGTCAGTATTTTTCCTTCCCTGGGACCTGGGTACGACTTTCCCCCCTAATTTTGTGGAAAAAAAACAATTGTTATTCCCTCAAAATATTTTTTTCGCTTTTTGTCCGAGTAAAATCACAACTACTATATGAGAAAAATACCAATACTCGAAAAATTAAATTTAAATGCTGGGAAAAAAAACGAAAACTAAAATTTTGGAGGATGCGGGCATCGATCCCGCTACCTCGCGCATGCAAAGCGCGCGCTCTCCCATTTGAGCTAATCCCCCACTTGTATTTTTCAGGCTTCAAATATGTGGGCATCACTGGTCTAGAATAAATTACATGAATACATAATTTTTGCACCTCTGTTACAAAAAACCCGCGTTTACTACTTATGTTGGGACGATTGTCCGAGATAAATTGACATGATATATTCCAGAAAAACCATTCAAATATATTTATCGCAAGTTTGCAATGTTGATAAATTATATATCTTGAAAATTTTTTCATAAATTATACTAACAAGCCTGTTCGCAGGTTAAATCTTGGATATCCAAAATTTAGAAGAAAGCAAATTTTATTCGCTTAAATATTTTATATTGCCTATTATTTAAGTGGAATTAAAGATTTTTAGTAATATGCGTAATATAGTAACATAATTGAGTTATAAATTTGAGAGAAAAAAAAAAAGGAAAAATGATGGAAAAAGTTTGGAGGATGCGGGCATCGATCCCGCTACCTCGCGCATGCAAAGCGCGCGCTCTACCATTTGAGCTAATCCCCCGTTCGCATTATGCTGACACGAATATTGACTTATATAGATGTCGTCGCATAAAATAGAGGTTCAAATTTGACTTGTTTAGCACGCATATATGATTGGTCACTCGGATATATCAAACGCATTTGATTGGTTTATAGTCCAACAATACCTCACGAAAGTTTATAACCCCCCTGATGAAATTAGAATTTCTGCACATGATGACGTTTTCATGGGGGGTGGTCGCTTTGGCGTTCCATTGTGCCACGAATGCTTGGCCTTGACGCTTTTTGGCTTGCCAAATGAATTGCCATAGAAAGTTTTTTTGCCTTTTATAAAAGGCTATGTACAATAAACTTTCCAAGCCAAACCACTCACCAGAAAGTGGAAATATAATAATCTCGTTCAGGAACAAAGTTCGCCGAATGCCAATGGATAGAAAGTCGAAAGTTTGCGTTTTATGTGGTGTTTTGATGACAAGCTTGTTTTATGTTGCTTACGCATTACATGTGAATTTTGGAGGATATTCGCTAACAAGAACGCGTGATATTGCGACTACATTAGAACAGTCTTGTCCTCTGACGAAACCTGTAAAAACAAAAGACGGGGCGATTTCGTATCGAATTGGAATCATTTCAGACTTGGACGAAAACTCCAAACATCCCAATAAATTGAATACATGGGTTAGTTACTTTAAACGTGGCAAATTAGTTTTAAATGCCAATGGTGGAGCGAATAAAGTTAGTGTACTATGGGACGATAACAATGTGGAGCTCACATCTTCGTTAGCGCAAGGCGGACGTGGTATGGAGCTATCCGAGCTTGTTTGCTTTGATGGAAAAATTTTAAGCCTTGACGATCGGACTGGAGTAGTCTATCAAATTTTCGACCGACATGTGTCGCCCTGGGTTATTATGGCCGACGGCGATGGCCAAGAGGCGAAAGGTTTCAAAGGGGAGTGGTCCACGGTTAAAGATGGACAACTTTACATCGGTGGTCTTGGTAAAGAATGGACGTCGAAAACTGGCGAGATTTTGAATTTCAATCCACAATATGTCAAAATCGTTGGTCCCAGTGGCGCGATGACACACGTTAGCTGGGTTGATAAGTATAGAAAGTTGTTAAAAACAGCTGGCATTGAACCACCTGGCTACTTGATTCACGAGTCGGCCGTTTGGAGTAGTGTTAATAAAAAATGGTTTTTCCTACCACGCCGGGCTAGCAAATTAAAATACGACGATAAAGAAGACGAGCGTCATGGTACAAATATGCTTCTGTCGTGCAGCGAAGATTTTAGTGGCTGCGATCGCACCCTCATTGGTCCACTTAATACGACGCACGGTTTCTCCTCGTTTAAGTTCATCCCGGGCACTAACGACCAAGAAATTGTGGCGTTAAAAACGCAAGAAGTGGGCGGGCAGATTGCGTCGTACATCATGGCATTTGACTTGAGTGGCAGAATATTGATGAGTGAACAGAAAATTCCTGGTAGCTATAAATTTGAAGGAATCGAGTTTTTATGATCATTGACTGTCCCTTTAAGGCTGTTTACATGGACTCTACCAGCATACCCATATTCATGATGTCATTATATATGACTTGCTAGCATCTCAGTCAATATGTGATGCTTATGTGAACTAAGAATATGTAAACTTAAAATATATTTAGGATTTGGGGCATCTTGCTTGGTAGGGGGCCTGAGGGTTGAAAGTTCAATTCCAGCCAGAGGGCCTAAAGTTTCCTCCATAACCCTCTGTTGGAGTCACCGTAACTCCATGTAAACAGACCCTAAATGTGGGGTGTTATAGCAAGACAATTTTAATATTTTGTATTAGCCAAACTGTCCTGGGTCTAATTTACCCTGTGATCAGAGTTTCCAAAGAGAATAGAGACTCTGCAGAATTTGTATAATTTCCTATTTTAACTGGTGTTAGGATAGGAAACACTCTATTAAAGCCTGATTTGACAACGGCAAAATTCGTCATGCAAAATTGTGTCTGCAAAATATGGATGATTGCACATGAGTGATTCTATTGAATTTTGTCACTTTATTTGCTTTCGCAGTGAGTAGAACTGACGTCTTCTCACTGGTGTAGCAAAATGTAACTTTACTGCGTATGCACAAATTCATTTCACATTTTGCTGAAAAAAGTGCTTGTGGAATCAGATCTATAGACCATTAGTGGCGTAGCCAGTCCGACAATTTAGTCCCGCTATGCAAATTCAAAATAATTATCATTATTCATTTCTTTAGAAATTGATTGTTTTCACAGTCAACAAACACGAAAATATTTGCATAGCGGGACTAAATCTTCGGGCTGGCTACGCTACTGTTAGTGCAGTAGATGGAATGAGTTAGCTTGCTACATTATGCTGGACAATGCAGTGAGTTGTGACCATTGAACTATAAATAAACTGAAAGGCTAACTGCTATGATGAAGGCCTATGGTTTGATGAAGCCGAAATAGTTTTTGTGAGTTATGAGCAGAAATACTTGACCCCAAACGTCGGGCTATATATCAAATTGAAGCTATTGAAAATTGCTATTCGGTGTGGAAATTTCAAGACTTCAGCGAAAAGAAAAATATTTTAAAAAATACAAAAACAACTGCAAAACGGCAAATTTTCGGTAATTATGTTTGTAGTTTTTCAATTTGATATATAGCCGAACGTTCAGTGTTGAGTATTTCCGCTCATAACTCAGAAAAACTAAAATACACTGGCTTCAATTTCCCCCCCCCCCCCGAGTTAGCCTTCCAGTTTATTTATAGTTCAATGGTTGTGACATGTTAGGTTTACCGGATGAATTTGGAACTATACAAAAACTCGTACAGTTCCACGGAATTCAAAATTGTCAATATTGTAATCATATAGTCTTTCTCTGTTTTAGTAATTATTATTTAAGCATACTTTTGCAGTCTATTAGCCAGGGTAGGGATAAAACGCTGAAACTGAATCGCGGAAACGGAAACTGAAAGCGGAAACTGAAATGGGGATAAAACGCTGAAATGGGGGTAAAACGCTGAAATGGGGATAAAACATAGTCTTTCTCTGTTTTAGTAATTATTATTTAAGCATACTTTTGCAGTCTATTAGCCAGGGTAGGGATAAAACGCTGAAACTGAATCGCGGAAACGGAAACTGAAAGCGGAAACTGAAATGGGGATACAACACTGAAATGGGGATAAAACGCTGAAATGGGGGTAAAACGCTGAATTCATCTATTAGCCAGGGTAGGGATAAAACGCTGAAACTGAATCGCGGAAACGGAAACTGAAAGCGGAAACTGAAATGGGGATAAAACGCTGAAATGGGGGTAAAACACTGAAAGCGGAAACTGAAATGGGGATAAAACGCTGAAATGGGGGTAAAACGCTGAAATGGGGATAAAACGCTGAAATGGGGATAAAATGCTGAAATGGGGATAAAATGCTGAAATGGGGGTAGAACACTGAATTCATCAATGGGGATAAAAATTTAATCGAATTCGTTGTTTGCTAGACCATTGCGAACACATGTAATTTGCCTATAAAACTGAATAAATATAAGAAAGAAGTTCCTGGTAAAATGACAACCACAAATTTTCGAAGAACGAATATAATCTGACAGTTTATCTTTTATTAATAATGTAATCTACAATTTTCTCCATATAACTTCGAACTCAACTTTTTGTGATAGCATACTATCTTCACACTGCCATATGGCTGGTATTTTGGGTGTAAAACCGGTGTCACAGGAATTTCCCGGGAATTGTCAGGACACGTGTCTAAATCGGAAAAAACGTTTTTCTTCTCCTGCCTACATGTGTAAAAATCATGAACTTGTAGTTGCAATGTTGATAAAAACAGGTTGCAACAATAATGTGCTACGCCTATTGTTCACGAATGTTAACAATATTGTTCAGCATTGTTGCACCCCATTCAAGATGAATAATATTGTTCAATGTTGTTAACTGTAAAAAACAGGTCAGCATAATATTGTTGCAACCTGTTGTACAGGCAGTACAGTACAGTACAGTACAGTACAGCAGGCTCAGCGTTTTTGGCCGTGTAGAATTGAACAAACTAACTGAACAAACTAAAAAACAAAACAATATCGACATCATGCCACGTCAAATTTGAGCACCAAACTCTCGTAAAAAGCGCACATGTTCTGGTGTTAAATAATATGGCAGCCAATTTGGTACAGTTACGCAGGCAGGGTTAAAATATGGCTGCTTCATCTTGAGGCAACTCAAATTTACATGGAAATATACATTTTGTTCTTTGAACATCAACTGTCCATCAGGAGTATTAGGGTTAGGAAAACCTCTATTCATACGTGTAATAATCGTCAAATCATACGGTGGACTTGCGATAATCCCGCCGAGTTTTAACGATTGGGAACACCCAAAACAGGTGCGAACTAAAGGAGGACAACACTGCAAAAGACTAAGAACAAATGTTCCTACTGGAGGATTGACAGCGGTAGGTAATGGGGCCTGTTGGGATCCTTGTGGCGTTGCTGACGCTGACCGAGATGCATAAACTGGCTGTTGCATTGACGTCATATAACGTAGAAAAAACTATCCTAACATAAAACTAAACCCTAACCCTAATACTAACCCTTACCCAGTAACCCTAACCTAACCTAAACCCTAACCTAACCCCAACTTATTTTAAAAATTGATATAAAAACGGAAACCTTATTTTGAAGTATACTATCTAGCAATTGCCGTTCGCAATGGTCTAGCAAACAACGAATTCGATTAAATTTCCCCATTTCAGCGTTTTACCCCCATTTCAGCGTTTTATCCCCATTTCAGCGTTTTAACCCCAACTTATTTTAAAAATTGATATAAAAACGGAAACCTTATTTTGAAGTATACTATCTAGCAATTGCCGTTCGCAATGGTCTAGCAAACAACGAATTCGATTAAATTTCCCCATTTCAGCGTTTTACCCCCCATTTCAGCGTTTTACCCCCATTTCAGCGTTTTACCCCCATTTCAGCGTTTTACCCCCATTTCAGCGTTTTACCCCCATTTCAGCCGTTTTACCCCCATTTCAGCGTTTTACCCCCATTTCAGCGTTTTACCCCCATTTCAGCGTTTTACCCCCATTTCAGCGTTTTACCTTCCGCTTTCAGTTTCCGTTTCCGCGATTCAGTTTCAGCGTTTTATCCCTACCCGTAAATGAACTACCGCCCCTGAAGCATCAACGCTATTTATAGATGCATTAATTAAGTAAATATTCAAAATTAGCCACTCCCAAGCTGCTCCCAAGTCCCAACTGCCAAACATAAAATAAATTCCTTGATTCTCATCACCGCCCGACTGAATTTTAAAATCCTCGTGAAAACGTTTTATATTTCGTTATACAATATACATGTACCGCCCGACAAAATAATTCAAGACAGTTAATTTTTTCATATTTTATATAGAGTTTTTATTGCCATTTTAAACTTCCAATTTGAAACAAACAGAATTTTGAGTGAAATTTCATTGTATTTTAAAGAAACTCAGTCATTCTGTCATTGTTCGTGGAGATACGAACTATTGATATATAAATTATATAAATATAAAATATAAAAAATAAATCTCCCACAGTCTTCGACATTTCAAAGTGTAGACTGTGTCTAGTGATGAGAATCAAGGAATTTATTTTATGTGTTAATATAAACCAAGCCCGTTTAGCTGCCTTAAAACGGTGGTTTAATAAGCTCAAAATACAAAGCATGCAAGTCTATACTATAGATTCATAATCAGTGAACAACCAAAGTGAAAGTTTTGAACCTTATAGAACGATAGTTTTTATTTGTTTACAACTATACATATTCAACGGGTATATAAGAGTTTAACTGTTATTTGATAATTACTGCATCAACCGGTCCCTAGTTCATACTTTGGAGGTTCGTATATCTATCAAGTATCTTTGGTTCAGAACATGACGGGCCTATATGAAAATCCCACCGTTCGATTCAGTGAAGAAATATCTCCTAATTTCTATCGATAGTTTTAGTAAAATGTCAACATTATTGCGATTTATGGCCTTTGAAAGTCAAGCGAGATCGTATATTATCAAATTAATATACGCATGTATTTGTCTGAAAGAAAATATAGACTAGCCCATACCTTTCGCCGATCATAACTTCGGCCCCTTCGGACGTATCTTCTTTGTTAAATATTCTTGTTCGAATCTCTATCAAAAACACTACTTAGAGTGTTATTTTTCAGCTTGTATCTTTAAATTTGCTTCTTTTATTATGGTATTCCATTTCTGGTCTGACTTGACGTGAACTAATTTCAAAACGCAGAGTTTCAAAACGTCAAAACATTTGGTTAATGATTAACATTTAACCGAATTTAGCTGTTGATTGACAACTACATAAAAATACTAACCAACCCGTTTTTTCCGTTCACCAGCGGATGGGTAATTCAAAAACCTTTGCGGCAGACGGTATTTCCTTTGACTCCCTAATATTCGCTGCCTGTAGAAATACCGCCTGCCACGCAGGCTAAGGAACACTGAGTTTGTACCATTTGCCCTGATTAACTTTTTGGAATTTGCCAAAGTCAATTAATATCCGGTGTAAACCCATACTGTTGTTTGTTAGCAAAATGTTATCGGCTTTTATCAGTTTTATGTCATTATGGAGGAAATCACTCTGGTGTGCATAAAGCAAAGTCTCAACTACATGAATAAAGATTTTCTGCCATTCATTTACTTTACCAAACCTGCTTTTTGCCATTTCAAGTATGGTCATACATTTCCCTTCTATTCCATGGAATTGGGTGATCAGCAGATATGGTTCTCTGTCCAAGCAATATCCAAACAGCAAAGGCAGTCCTTAAGAAGCTGTCTCCGTAAAAACCTCCAGGTGAATATGGGGCTCAAAAATAGATTTCTCTCATACTCTAGTATTTTGAAGATCTATCCTTGGGAACAACTAAAATCGATTTCATTTTACTCCAATTTCCTTTAATTAAATTATTTTTGGGGGCGATTGATGTTCGATCGGCTGGTATAACCAACTTGAACTCCGAATGAAGGCAAAATATCGACATATTTTCAGCGCTATTTTTTAAATCAAATTCATACCTAAATTTCAAAATTTTTGCTCAGAAATATAGACTTATCCTTCTATTTTCATTGGTTATATGACTTAGATAATTATTCTTTGGTATAAAATAGAAAACAGCGCAGTTATTGACCCTCCTGAACAGATAACGGATATCATCTCAAAATATATCAACTTCGAAAGCTTATTTCAAAATCGTGGCACTTGATTGGCACATGA